TATATATATATATATATATATTTTATTATTTTTAGAAATATGGCGACAGAAATCTCAGAAGTCTCTGGAGATTCTTGTCGCCAGTTCTCTTTCTATAAAGCAGGCAATTGTTGTTGGGTTGTTACAACCATTACATAGGAAGTGATCAATGGACTTTTCACGCTTTCCTTCGTTTTCAGCTATTTCCCTGTGGCCAACGTGGCCAGAACTTAGCCACGGGCCATACATCCTCCACAACTAGCACTATAATAGCGAAAGGTAATGAAGCAGATACTAACTCCTTAACTGAAAGACTACCCTCCGTATAATCTCTTATACCCTTCCTTCATTAAGTGATAAACAAGAGATAACTTTCTTCTTAAAAAATCCCGTATTAAATCATTCTACTATGGTTTAAGAGCATCCAATTTGCTGGCTTAATTAAATATTTTTTTATATATATTATTATCGTCATTAATAAAGAATATAAACTAGTCTTTTCTGAACTAAAAGTTTAGAGATAAACGTGCATTTTTCATACGTTTCCTATATTCAAACTTGCCTTCATAGTAATGAAAAAAGTATATTAAATGAGTTATAAAAACATAGTACAAATATAATAAATGAGATTTAAAAAAAATGGAGTTATAAACCAGCTTTAATTTTCTAAAGATGCTAACTGATAAGCGGGATAAAGTCACGTTAATTTGCATCGTTTCCTGTTAATTTAAACATCTGATATTCAAATCTTAAAATTGGTGAGTAGTTTCTTAGGTTAAGAATAAGAGTAACCTACCTTTTGATGGTTAGTGACGTTGTGATTCGCGTCACGATTGGGAAGAAGAGTCGTTGGTAAGCCGTAGAGTCAGATCTGTCCAGAAAGTGTGTTGTAGCACGTCTGTTCGCGACTTATCGAAGGAAGCGACTGAGGATCCCCTCTTCGTGCCTGACTGCTTATCACACAAATGTTTAGGCGCATGAGCACAACTGTCGATGCTGATTGGACTTGTAATTTTGAGCAAAGAATACTCAAAATGCTCTCTCTCTCGTCCTGCAACAGAAAAAAAAAACGTTTAATAATAATAAAATTAACATTGTTGCTCGCTAATTATACATTTAATAAACTAAATTAACATATAAAAAAATAATTTAAATACAATTTTTTAAACTTCTAACTGTATATATTTTCTGCAATTTAATTAAATTTCACATATGCATCCTTGTATGTGTGCAATGTTTGTACACATACAAGGATAAACTTATTTTAAATTATTTTATTCGATTTTTAAAATATTTTTTGAAAAAAATAAAAAGAATTTTTGCAATTATCTTAAAGCAATAGAATCTAGTAAACAATGATAAATGATTTTTATGCAATAAAATTAATTTTTAGAGTGGAAAAATTTTTATCGATTCTCATACGCTCGATGATAATTATTTATTTATAAATATTTCAACGTGAAATTACACACAAATAATTATTAATTTCATTAATATCGATTATTCATATACATTTTTACTATTAAAAATTGATTTAAAAACAATTTATTTTATTAAATATTATTAAATTAAAAACACTTTACGTCAAAATTGAATTAAAAATTAACTTAATTTTTCACGAATTTATAAATAAAATTTTTTTTTAATATTTAATCAAATTTTGTAGAGAATAAAGATATTATTTTTTAATTTATTATCAGTTTCTTTTATCTTTTCATACATATTCAGAAGCAATTGGTAATATTTATATTAATATATGTATAATCAATAATACATAGTTCATAGTAACAAACGTGATACGGTTTCATGTTTTCCTCGGAGATTATAACATTAGAAATTAATTGAAATTTTAGTAATTTATGTAACGAATCTTTAAAAATTTTTATAAAATTATAAATTATATA